TTTAGGCATTTTCGGGCGTACGTCGAGCGCAGGTAAGACTCTGTGTGGCAGAGGTGTCACCGTTGGTTTAATTACTCAAGTTTGAGGTACTTTCTCCTAGCGTAAAGTACCTGGGGGTTGCGCGGTCCTCCACAAAGGACCCCGAAATTTTTGCATATTCTCGCGGAAAGTCCGCGAGAATGCGGCCACTGCGCCGCAGCTAATCCATAAAGAAACCGCGATTGTTCTTCAAACATTCGTCTTTAATTTCGCCAATTCTCCCCCTTTCTTCCAAATTTCTGCAAGCGGGCGGCAAAAAATCAACGAACTATTTTTCCGGTGCGCGCTTGCTCAAAATTCGCATGGCCGCCTGCCCCCGGCGGTCATCTGAGCATTTGCTCGACGTACAGTCCAAGCGCCTGCTCTATGTTTGGCCAGCGCTCGCCGAAAGAGATTATTTGACGAGCGCCCGCGGAAAACTCTGTATTCTGCCCCGCTAGCAGGACATTCGACAGTAAAGGAGGTACCGCCCGCTGAAGGTTTGGCCACGCCCCAAAATTCTGCTGACCGCCTGCAGAAAAGCGCGAGTTTGCGGACCGCCTGCCCCGGCAATTATCTGAGATGTTGTTTCCAGAAACTCTAACCTACTAAAAGTATGGGACTTCTTCAACGGAAGGGTGAAAAGTGCAAGCGAATTGTCAAGTTCATTACTTTAGCTACATATCCCTCGCTAAGTCCACTGTGGGACTTTCTGGTACGAAATAGTCGATTATTCGTAAACAGGTCCAGAAACCTCTATGAGCGGAATTGCCAAGTCAATTCAAAGTCATTAATATCTTAGTCACCACTTATAGCGAGCTCAAGAGTGAGGAACGGAAGGATTTAAACGGTCTAATTTTCCCGAAAAATTTCCGTAGAGATCATCCGTCCTATTGGCTGGGAAAAACTGATTTGTGTGGTAGTTACCTACTACTGCTAAAACTCTCGTCATACATACGCATGGTACTGGGCCCCGGAACTGCCTTGCTCCTCAAAGATTGAAGAGTTTTCTGAGTTGATACAAATAAAAATTCAAGGTTATGGGAAAGTCTCGTTGGCTCTGCCTTTTTAAGGTTGCATTTTCGGAATCAGCGAAACAAAGCCCGAGTGAGTAAAGCTTCCTTGTTTGAGGTTTTGCCTCAATCACCTTTTCGTAATGATTTATGCGTCATCAATCAAAACAATAGTATAATTTTAGTATCCTACTAGCTGGCATACCCGGCTCCGCCCGGCCCTGTCAAAAACGATAAAGGTTCCATTTTTATCGCTGTACACCTTTACCTGCGCCCACTTCCCCAGGCAATTCCCTATTCCCGCTGTGTTAGTAATCAGTATGCTCACCTACCTTCTTCACACCAACCCCCAGCCCCCTAGCTCAAACTTTGCAAAAAAAAACAATAAAATCGATAAAAGTAAGGATAATTCTATTAGGTCGTCCCGTAACTTCTTGCGTACAATTTTCAAAAATTTGTAACTTTGCGATGTTTCAGCGGATTTGCTTGCCTGTAATTTTGTTAAAAAGAATAAATCTTACGCCTTCAAATGCTCTTTTGCGGAGCTTCTGGTTGACGTTGGATGCGGAGATAAAAATGGAAAACTAAGACCATATGAGCTTTGACCATTTTTGGTTAGGTCACCAAAAATCGGAAACGCAGAAAAATCTGAAATCGTCAGTACTTATGTTTCTTGGCCTACCCTTTACAAATGTGAAACGTTTGTGCTGTTTAGACGTCTCTGTGAGAAGTTGTGATTTTTGCGAAAATCGACAAACTAATTAATTTTGGCATTCTCCATAGTAAACTCGATATTCATAACTACTCACAGAGACGTCCAAACAGCACAAACTTTTCACATTTGCAAAGGGTAGGCCAAGAAACATAGGTACTGACGATTTCAGATTTCTCTGCGTTTCCGATTTTTGGTGACCTAACTAAAAATGGTCAAAGTTCATATAGTCTTAGTTTTCCATTTTTATCTCCGCATCCAACGTCAACCAGAAGCTCAGCAAAAGAGCGTTTGAAAGCGTAAGACTTATTCTTTCTAACAAAATTACAGGCAGGCAAATCCGTTGAAACATCGCAAAGTTACAAATTTTTGAAAATCGTGCGCAAGAACTTTCGGGACGACCTAATAAAAACTGATGGCGTTATGCGGCTATCTAGGCCCTAAAATGCTTTTGTGGTGGATCTTGCTCAAACTCGGTATATGGGGGTTAATCAAGCCGCTGATGACGAATATCGTAGTCATTTCGCGTGGCAGCGGGTGAAAATCCTGAACCTGCCTGAAACCTTGGAATTACCCAAAGTGCTGTTTTTAAGATTATCATGCTTAATCTCCACGATAATGGCGACTCGTGTGGTATGAAAGTTTTCCACGACCGTAATGCTTTCCTAGGACCACTGCCGCGCGCGATATACCCTTCGGCGGCTTTTGCCTAAGCAAAAAAGGGGAGGGAGATTTGCCGTCGTGCGTTACACGTTGGGACAGGTTATCAGGATGGCGCTGGAAACTGCGCCATGCAAAACGACCCTTTCCCCATTTCGTGGATCTGGGATGATCTAAATTGGCCCGAAAGCGAAAAAATGTCCATTCAAAGCCTGCAACTCACCATAACTTCACTAAAGCGTTAGCAAGCAAGCATCATATTCATAGATACTATACTTGTGAACTGTTACAGGTAAGGTTCTGAGCAAATCTGGAACTTCGACCCATCTACATCCACCGTAACCCAAGAAAATGCACTATCCTGCGAAATCAGCATGATATTCATTTTCAGCGCTCCAAATGACCACCCTAGACGAAGTTTAGAGCAAATCTATGTTTTCGACCCCATACCGTAAACCACCATAACTCTATGAAAAGGTCCCAATATGCAGAGAGAGTATGAAATTCGTAATCAGCATGTCGAATAAGTTCTCTGGACCAAACTCCAGCCGAATTCATGATTTTGACTTTATCTTTTGACTTTATCGTACACCTACCGTAATCACACGGGGAGACGTTCTGCGGAGAAAGTGTGATGTATGTCAGTAGTTTGGCTGTCCTCTTTTCTCGAAACCTCGGAAAAAGGAAGAAAAGCATAACACAACATTAACTGTGATATCTGTTTTCAGCACGTAAGATAACCCTTATACACGAAGTTTGAGCAAGCTCTACGACAAAAAAATTTTGGGTCCCGGATAGCCGAGTAGAGCCAAACTAATATTGTAATCGCAATCAGCATGCTCGATTACCCCCCCCCCCCTGTGCAAACTTCCAGCCCCGCAAGTCAAACTTTACAAAAAAATCGGTAAAATCGATAAAAGTAATCGATAATTCTGAAAATTAATATGGTATTCGGAATCCCCATGCTCACTTACCCCCCCTGCGCCAACTCCCAGCCGGTGAACTATGCAAAAAATTGATAAAAATCGATAAAATCGATATCGATCGATGACGAAAAGTAGCCTATGACACCCGCCCGGGCCCGAAGTGTATGTGTGCGTTTGGTCCGGATGGGCTCAGAAATGGAATTTTCTATTCGGAACATACGTACAGACAGACAGACAGACAGACAAACAGACTTTCAGCTTTATATATAAGATTCTCACAAACAGCTACTACATTCGTAATCAACATGCTCAGTTACCCCACGCCAACTCCTAGTCCCGTACTCAAACTTTACAAAAAAATCGATAAAATCGATAAAAATCGATAATTCTGAAAGCTAATGTTGTATTCGGATCCCCATGCTCGATTCCCCCCCCCCCCCTGTGCCAACTCCCAGCCGCGTAGGTGAACTCTGCAAAAATCGATAAAAATCGATAAAATAGATATCGATCGATGACGAAAAGTAGCCTATGACACCCGCCGGGGCCCGAAGTGTATGTGTGCCAAGTTTGGTCCACATCGGTTCAGAAATGGAATTTTCTATTCGGAACATACGTACACACATGCAGACATACATACAGACATACATACAAACATACATACTGACAAACAGACATTCAGCTTTATATATAAGATTTAACCCACCATGCTATCATCTCAAGTGTTTGAAGTTAAACACCGAACCATCACCATTAAGTGCTCCGATAATCGCCGGGGGCAGGCGGTCCGCAAACTCGCGCTTTTCTGCAAGCGGTTAGCCGAATTTTGGGACGTGGCCAAACCTTCAACGAGCGGTATTTCCTTTACCGTCTAATGTTCTGCCAGCGGGCAGCAACACAGAATTTTCTACTGGCGCTCGTCAAATAATCTCTTTCAGCGAGCGCTGGTCAAATTTTCAGCTGGCGTGCGGACGGTTTTTAAGCAGTTTCGGGCGTACTCCGAGCTAAGGTGAGACTCTACATGGCAGGAGTGTCATCGATGGTTTAATTACTCAAGTTTGAAGTACTTTCTCCTAGCGGAAAGTACCTGGGGGCTGCGCGGTCCTCCACAAAGGACCGTGCGGCCCTCGAAAACTTTGCATATTCTCGCGGAAAGTCCGCGAGAATGCGGCCACTGCGCCGCAGTTAATCTACTAGAAAACCGCGGTTGTTCTTCAAGCATTCGTCCAAAATTTCGCTAAAACTCTTCCAAATATCTGCAGGCGGATCGCAAGAAATCAGCGAACTATTTTTCCGGTGCCCGCCTCCCATAAATCGCATGACCGCCTGCCCCTGGCGATTATCTGAGTGGTATCCAAGCGCCTGAAGCTGCACTAAAACTGATGCCTCCTTTCTTCTAGGTATAAGTTCTATGCAAGTTACATGTGCAGGTTACGACTCCGCCTTACTACCTATATATTGAGCTCCGCATGTATTATGGGCACCGGGTTCGTGGCCTGGTTCTTTGTGAAATGTTACAACTCTTTTTCTCATCTCAATATAAATCACTTGCTTACCATTAAACCTCCTTCTAGAAAATTTCAGTTTAATTCGCTATAATCAAATAACCAGAGAAGAGTAGTCAGAGGTTATGCTTAACACAGTTGGTTAAATGTTGAAAAGATAAAATTTTACCTTTACTATAACTGTAGCTTCCCTGTATTCCGTCGGAACTCTAATGCTCGCCGTTGCTTTTCGAGACGCTATAGATATGACAACTCCGTTGACAAGCTCGCAACAGTAGCCATAGGTAGCTATTTTTGGTAAATGGAGCGTGATGAAGATTCATAATTGCGCATACCTTCACAGAGTTCAAAGTCTTCATTACGTGCAATGTATGCACTGCAATACAATGGGTCATACATAACTAGTACTGAGATCGAATTTGACTTCCAGCCAACTCCCATCCGGTATGCTTCCTTTTGGAACGTCTCCGTTAACTAGAAAAAATGAGCGTGCTTAACTTGTTGATCCGGTCATAATAAGATCACCACTCTTTCAACTTGTCTGTGGATCGTATGTAGAGCACCACCAATGCCGACGGATGCGCCATTTACCCTACCATAGGTAAACCGTACCGAAAGCGGATCCAATTTCGCTGTGAAAACCAATTTCTTTTTTTCTGCAACGTTCTACACTTGAGTCATTCGCAATATCTGATAGACAGAGACAAGATATCAGATTATCTTTGTGATTGGATTCTTTTTCAAGAATTCAAACGAATTTTGTGATGGTGTGACGACACCCACTCAGATAATCGCCGGGGGCAGGCGGCCATACGATTTGCGGGCAGGCGGGCACCGGAAAATAGTTCGCTGGTTTCTTGTGGCCGCGTTGCAGATACTCAGACAATCGCTGGGGGCAGGCGGGCACCGGAAAAATAGATTGCTGATTTCTCGCACCCCGCTCGCGGATTTTTTGCAAAGCAAGCAGGACTTTTCGGAAGACCGCTTGCTGAGTCAGCGGATTTTTGAGAGACCGCCTGTTGAATTTTCTTCGCTCTTATCTTTTGCAGATATACTGCTGAATCTCTGAGGAATCGAGAACTCAGCAAGCGGTCTTCCAAAAAGTCCTGATTGCTTTGCAAAAAAATCCGCGAGCGGGGTGCGAGAAATCAGCAATCTATTTTTTCGGTGCCCGCCTGCCCCCAGCGATTGTCTGAGTATTTGGGAGAATGTTGGCGAAATTTTAGGCGAATGCTCGTAGAACAATGCGGCTGTTTCATGGATTAGTTGCGGCACAGTGGCCGCATTCTTGCGGGGCTTCCGCGAAAACATGCAAAGTTATTGAGGGCCGCACGGTCCTTTGTGGAGGCCGCAATTATCTGAGTAGGCGCGCAGCCCCTACTCAGATAATCCATGTGATTTATGGGCGAGCGGGCACCGGAAAGATAGTTCGCTGATTTTTGCGGTCCGCTTGCAGATATTTAGAGAAATTTTAGCGAAATTTTAGACGTTTGCTTGGAGAACAACCGCGGCTTCCTTATAGAATAGCTGCGGCGCAGTGGCCGCATTCTCGCGGACTTTCCACGAGAATATGCAAAATTTTGGGGGGCCGCACGGTCCTTTGTGGAGGACCGCGCAGCCCCAAGTACTTTCCGCTGAGAGAAAGTACCCCAAACTTGAGTAATTAAACCATCGATGACATCTCTACCACACAGAGTCTTACCTGTGCTCGACGTAAGATCGAAACTGCGTAAAAAGAGTCCGAGTGCCTGCTGAAAGTTGGGCCAGCGTTTGCTGAAAGAGACTATTTGACGAGCGCCTGCAGAAAATTCTGTGTTGCTGCCCGTTCGCAGAACATTAGACAGTAAAGGAAATACCGCTCGCTGAAGGTTTGGCCACGCCCCAAAATTCTGCTGACCGCTTGCAGAAAAGCGCGAGTTTGCGGAACGCCTGCCCCCGGCGATTATCTGAGCAAGTTATAAAATCTAAAATCGGTGGAAAAAATCGAAAACCAAGGCCTCTGAAAAGCTGCAAATATACTTATACTATAAGGGCTATACTTGTTATACTTCTAAGGGCTTGTAGTATACAGCTACATGAATAGAAACGGCATAGCTTCATTTTTGTAGAAACAAGAACATTTTCGTTTTTTCGTTTTTAGTTGAAAAAATACAGCAGCGGTACATGTGAGTGTTTGATACAGTGTGCAATTTTTATGAGCAAGTTGGAGATTTGTGGGATTTTTTTTGAACAAAGATGTGAATTTTTCGCGATTTTTTGAGCCTTCAGTACGACTCAGATTTTGGAAGCAAACTCACGGTGGATTCAAGCGGGTGCGAACTTTTGCACAAAATCTTGTAGAGCTTGCTTTGCTCTATCGAATGGTACCTTGGAGTCCTATTGAAATTATGAATCCACGACTTATAGTGGTAAGAAATCAAAGTGTAACAAGACTTATGTAACAACCTAATATAATATAATAATTCATCGATCATTTTGCAACCATTCATTTTTTCATGAAATTTTCGTCAAAAAATGTATTTTTGTTTTATCCATACATGCGCTAAGCGAATCCCTGATAGCGGTCATAATCGATTTTGCGGTAGTGGTCGCTATCAAAGACGCTAGGCGATACAGCAAAAGTATGGCGCTAGCCGGTGTTGAACCATGGCCGCGCGCGTTCAATTCTAGTCGCTTACTTGTTCGACCAAACCAGCTCATCCTTTCCTATGAACACACATGATTATTATAATTAGAAAGCGATCCGCATCCAGATCAACAGCTCACTGGATGCTGGACTGAGGCATCCTACATTCAACGTAGGCCCGCACCGGTCGGGTTGCACTGATGGGAAGGGAAGTTTACTACGGGCCATTGTTTGATTGTATTGCTGCCCGCTGGCAGAAGGCGGAAGTACCGCTTGCTGAAAGTTCGGTCCCGCCTCAAAATTTTGCTGATTGCTTGCAGAAAAGCGCGAGTTTGCCGTCCGCTTGCCCCCGGCGATTATCTGAGCATTTGCTGGGGACGTCCGAAGGCGCGAATCCGGCTGTCCGCAAATCCGATGACACATGTGTCCAGTTTATCAGTTTTGCTATGTAAGATTTCGAAAAGCACCGACGAAGTGCTTTTAGACTTCTTAGCTTTTTGAGGTTAATGTTCGTTAGGTTTAAAAAAAAGATACGTTGGAAAATTGACACACATATTTCATCTTGCTGCTAGTTGCATTCACCTTTAACATTTGTATTTAGAACTAGTTTTGATTGAAATGTGAACGACTTATGGGACTTTTTGGTATACATCTTGGAATTTTGAAATTGTATAGGAATCCGTTTTGGTATACATCTTGGAATTTTAAAATTGTATAGGAATCCGTATTATTGAATGACATACCCCTTTACTGACACAATGCTTCCTGCACGTACTTCCACTCAGATAATCGCCGAGGGCAGGCGGCCCGCAAACTCGCGCTTTTCTGCAGGCGGTCAGCAGAATTTTGGGGCGTGGCCAAACCTTCAGCGGGCGGCACTTCCTTTACGGTCGCATACTCTGCCAGCGGGTAACACAGAATTTTGTGCAGGCGCTCGTCAAATAATCTCTTTCAGCAAACGCTGGCCGAACTTTCAGCAGGCGCTCGGATTCTTTTTACGCAGTTTTGGGCTTACGTCGAGCACGTAAGACTCTGTGTGGGAGAGTTGTCACCGTTGGTTTAATTGCTCAAGTTTGGGGTACTTTCTCTCAGCGGAAAGTACCTGGGGGCTACACAAAGGACTGTGCGGCCCGAAAACCCTGCATATACCCGCGGAAAGTTCGCGAGAATACGGCCACTGCGCCGCAGCTAATCTATAAGAAAATTGCGATTCTTCCCCAAGCAAAATTTCGCAAAAATTATTCCAAAATTCTGCAAGCAGACCGCAAGAAATCAGCGAACTACTTTTCCGGTGCGCGCTTGCTCAAAATTCGCATGGCCGCCTACCCCCGGCGATTATTTGAGTAATTCGAAGAAAAAACACGAGTTGTGTTGCATTTTTATAATAGCACATATTCTTCAACTACTTATCATGTTATCATCCGTATGCCTTTGGACAAAGACAACTTTTTCTGCGCCTAAGAGATCGAGGTAAAATATGGAGCAAAATAAATCACAAATCCCGGAATCGACTACTTTTTTCAGTGGGGCTGTACAATGTTATATATCTCCTCAAACCACTGTTATCTATTTTTTACAAATAAATCTGCATTCAGTTTTTTCAAGAGCTGCCAAGGCTAGCGAAATCTTTTGGCAAAGAAACTATATAATTGAGTGGAATTAGAAAAGCCTACCTCGCGAGTACGCATGTGTATCAGATACGAGAAAGCTTGAAATTGATATAAGAATAATCGAAAACATTGATGCGTTCTTGTTCCCAGCTAAATAGAATACCATATTAACATTTCTTCTATATTTACAGATAGCACCACGCATTTCACACATTTAATGTGCTGTAGCATCATGAAACAGTATAAAGTGTCTATGATTATGGTATAGTTCTGGACAAATGCATGGGCTTTTTGCGAAGCACCATTCGAGATTATTGGAGAAAAACGCAAAAGCAACAAATGATAGTCTTTCTATGAAAGAGAAACGTTGATTTATTGTTTTATGTGATACGAATTTGTCGTTGACGAAGGCGCATAGCATAATAAATGGTACTTTAAGCTAACATAATTCAAATCTTGGCATTTTTCGTTGGTGATTTCATCGTTGCAAAGAATAATGCGAAATCATCATATGGATACAAGCTTGACTTTTTTGTAATGATTTGCAATGATGAGTCATATACAGGCGAATACTTCATTGACTCTTTGTTGGCCAATGAACACTTGATAAAAATGCTGATTATTCGCCGAAGCAATACAACACAGAGGTTTTTCAAGCTGATTTCATGTCATTATCATATCGATGTATCGAGATAAATTCTGTGGAAATTGATTTCAAGATAACTACAGCACAACATCCAAGGAAATTTAATTTGTTTTACAGCATGTGAATGTGGGAGAGTCTCTTTACATGCACTTTTTTCAAAAGAACACAAAAAACGATATTCCTGCAGCAATTTTTCTATCAGTTCTGGGCTTCCACGAAGATTGTGTTTGCCATCATTCGTCACCAACACCTATACGCTGTTGAATATCGAAGAGTTGCGCTGACACATTTGGTGATTGTTTGATACTGACATTGTCTTGTGCAGATAAGACACAATAAAATAAGCTATATCAGCTTGCAAAGGGAGAGCACATCAAGTTAAACTTTCTATAACGTAGCCTAATTTTGAATACAGTCGAGCAGATTTTCCGCTTAATATAGTGTGCTTGCACTGAAGGTGAAATGCGGTAAAATCTGCGCGTGAACAAGTAGCCGCGCCAGTGATGCCAGTACTTTTGCGCGCGCGAATGGCCGGCGTCACAGGCGCAGCTATTTGTTCACGCGCATTTTACCGCATTTCACTTTCAGTGCAGGCATACTATATTAAGCGGAAAATCTACTCGACTGTACCAGATCTATACAACTGCAACATGTTAGCTCAAACTTTCAAGGGTTGAACATCTGCTCTTAACAATAAGGAACTCGCCTTTATATTATAAAAAAAATGATGTCTCATGAACAAAGGGTAAGTTTCGAAAGAAAATTTAATTAAACCCATTATAAGCTCTTGAATCAAGCTAGGACCTCAATATGGCATCCTTTGCGGAAGCCCAACTTGAAGCGCTATGCTTTCGTCACTATCATAGAATCTTTGCATGCAAGAAACAAATCAAGTTGATGTTTGCAATCCACCCTAATTTGCACGATTTGCTGGCTGGAAGTTAGGAAAGACCAAATGCAAAATTGTTAGGCTACGTGTGCTAGAGTTCTCCAGTTTCATAGTTTCCTAAAAGGGTTCGTTGCACGTTCTCGTAAGCACTATGCTGGCCTCGTCATTGATGACATATGATCAAGCTAGGTATCGCGTCGAAGGTACAAAGCATGATCCGGAGATATATAGAAGGCGACGCCCCAGAATGTTTGCATACATTGCTAAAATTCGCGAATAAAAATCTATTTAACAAATGAAATCCCAGTGAATAAAAGGTTAAGGAAAGCTTCCTTAAAATACCGTAACATTAATTAGGGAAGGTTTCTTTCATGTCTGCTCTGATCCTTTCCAGGAATCGCAATTTAGATTTTCCTCTTGGTAGCTTTCCTTGCACTTCTACCGACATGGCCACTATCGTTATGTGTTCTTCTCCTCTTCACCTGACGTGCCCATATTATAGAAGTTAATTTTAGATAGTTTTGCTTCTTCTTGAAAAGTGCGATATTCATCATGCTTCGTGGGTGTTGTTCTGGATGTGGTCAAGCATCGCAATTCCTGTACTTCACCTCAGCATTGTCTCCACCAAGCGATACTCTCTCTCTGCAATACCAGCATTCAATCTCGTACAGTGGTCCTACCACCGTACGGTATGTCAAGGATTCAGTTTAAGCGATACCTTCGACAGTTTAGAGATAGGGCGTTAAAATTTGAGTATCTGCTTCCCATAGAAGTGAAAATTGTTTATAGGAAATCAAAGAAGAGAAAAAAATGTAAAACAATTAGCAAAAGCAGAAGAATCTCTTGAAAACCTCATAAAACGCCGCAATCGGTTTGAAATTTTTCGTTTGGTGACATTCCAAATGGAAGATTTTCGCTACAGGACCAGCAATCCACAGCACGGGCGAAAACAAGGAAAAGCTGGTTTCTTCTTTGTGACTGTTTCAAAAACAAGCATATTAGTTTGGCCCGAAAGTTCTTGCGCATCATTTTCAAAAAATCATGACTTCCTTGCCACTTGATGCATTTCTTTAGAATTATTTTTGTTCGGAAAGGGAATCCGTGCTTTTTACAGCAGTACCTTCGTCGTAATTTAGTTCAACACTCGAGAGTTAGAAGCAATTGAAGGAATTTATTCAAGACTGGCATTTTTCGAGACTGGGTCACGAAAATTCTTTTTCATTCAAAAGAGAAAATTTGTGCATTACTGTAGGACCTTTTTCGCGAATTACCATGAGATATTAGGGTGGTGCAAAAGTTCTTTCCCACCAAATTCAAAAATTCGTAACTTCTGAATTTTTCAACCGATTGGATCGCTCTTATTTATTTATGAAAGATTAAGTCATGCTCTTTATAATGACACCTTAGATGCTTGCTAATGATCATCTGTTCCATAGATAGGAGCGATAGTAGAGAATTAGTCAAAATTCGAATTTTTTGTGTAGGGTCATAAAAAATCGGAAACTTGCGACAAAAATCGTGTCGGTATTGTAGGTTCTTTTACCAGCTCTTTCTAACAGTGCAAAGTTTGCGCCGATTGAGCGTCTCTATGAAAAGTTACGATTTTCGAGCAAGCAATACAAGCGAATTTGATTTATTTTGGCATTTTTCAGGGAAATTGTAACTTTTCATAGAGAGACTCAATCGGCGCAAACTTTGCACTATTAAAAAAGCTGTGAAGGAACCTACAATACCGACTGCTCCGATTTTTGTTGCAAGTTTCAGATTCTTTATGACCCTACACAGAAATTCGAAGTTTGACCGATTTTCTTCTATCGGGCCTATCTGTGCAACAGATGATCGTTGGCAAGCAACTAAGATGTCATTATAAAGAGCATGACTTGCTTTTTCATACAAAAATAAAAACAGTCAAATCGGTTGGAAAAATTAGAAGTTATAAATTTTTGAATTTAGTGGAAAAGAACTTTTGCACCAACCCCTTAGTAAAAATGCCCTGTATGGTTTATAAAAACGTGCAAACAACTTATTTATTTTTGTAAATAATTAAAATATTTTTCAAAATTTTTCAAAAATTCAAATTAGCCTTATAAAAAAAAATTTTCGGGGGCGTGGCTGATGCCACGCCCCCTTTTCCAGATTTTAGGGGTTGGGGACCCGCAAAAATTTTGAGAAGCACCCCAAAAATTTTTCGGAGTGCATGGTTAACGCCACGCTCCTTCATCTGCAAAAAAATTTTTGACGCCCCCCCCCCCGGTCCGAAATCCTGCGACCGCCACTGGTAAGCATTAGTCTTTATAAGCTCATCTTTGTAGCTGAGCGAGTTTCGAGCTGATCGAAGACAATTTTAATTTTCGTGTATTTTTCGGGTTATCGTGCTTGTATTTTTCACGAAAATCAAAATCTGCCTCATTGGCACGAATTTCACCCAGCTACAATGAGGAGCTTATACAATTCATGTTTGTGACTGTTTCGGTCTCTGCTGCTATGTTTGAAGCTTTTTAAGCATGCTAAAAATTGCAAAACTGAAGCAATTCTCTTCATTGGCTTCTATTTTCCGAACTATCTCATAGTAGTTCGCGGAAAAGATACTACAATTATCCGCAAAATTTTCTCTTTCAAATAAAAATACTTTCAGATTTTTCGCGATCCAGCTCGAAAAATGCCAGTCTTGACTGATGTCCTTCAATTGCTTCTAACTCTCGAATTTTTCCAATCAATTCATGCGAAAGTACAGCTGTAAAGAGTTTGGATCCCTCTTTTGAACGAAAATAATCTTGAGAGAATCCATCGAGTGGCAAGGAAGTTATGATTTTTTAAAAATGATGCGCAAGAACTCTCGGACCAAATTGATATTTTGTGATTGGTGATTATCAAGAAGGAAATAGACGAAAAAAGTTCACTTATGAAAACGTAAAGTTTTGTTTTTTCCTTAGTCGAAATGCAAGTCAAAGACAGCCTGGTTCTTATGCGTCCTTCATTTTTTTAGCCCTTTCTCGTAGTTTTTGTCTCTGGCGACGTTGTCAGCTTTGTTGTGCTCATAATTCCCGAGTAAAATGCCCCCGAATGTAAGAAATGGTTGCTTATTATCCCAGTAAAAGCCTATGAACAAAAATGCACTTTTTTGCGGCTTTCTACTACATATTTCAACACAATCGAAGAAGTTAGCTCCGCGACGTTGTTCACACTATGAATGGAAGCAAAATCTATGGAATGCACAAAGCCCTTTGAAAAGAGCTAAACTGGAGAAAAAACAAGGATACGAAACCAGGTTTCTGCCAGATTTTTCGTTCAAATCAGGAAAAGTTCTGCGACGTTTTCAGCGTGAAAGTCGAGATCAAGAGCTTCATTACGTTATACAGTTTGCTAGCTTCAAACTGAAAACCAAGAACTCAGATAATCGCCGGGGGCAAGCGGCCATGCGAATTTTGAGCAAGCGGGCACCGGAAAAATAGTTCGCTGATTTTTTGTGGTCCGCTTGCAGAAATTTGGAATGATTTTGGTCAATTTTTAGATGAACGCTCGAAGATCTATCGCGGTTTTTCTATACATAGGTTGCGGCACAGTGGCCGCATTCTCGCGGATTTTCCGCGAGAACATGCAAAATTATTGAGAGCCGCACGGTCCTTTTTGAAGGACCGCACAACCCTCAGGTACTTTCCGCTGGAAGAAA